GCTACTAATCTGATAACTGTGAGCAAGTTGCCAAATCCAGTAGCCTGGATGGTACAAAGGTAAGTACACACAAAAGAATCTTAAGTCTGCCTTTGGAAAGACTTGGAGCGCTTGCGCTTCCTGGGTTTATGCTGCACTTACGCCCGCCTCTCGTATCCAGGATGAGTGAGGAGAAGCAGCAGGAGGTCAGTACAGCCCGAGATGGGGGTTTCCGCTCGGCCCCGACGAGCATGCACTCCCACACATTTTGCCCTTGCAGTTAAATCATGGAGATCCTTTTGCACGCTCCTACTGCTAATGACCTGATTGTTTGGAGAAAGGTGGGCCCCAGTCCTATTGACTGTTTGTATCTTAATGGGCCCTGGTTTTGAAATGTATTTCCAAACCAGTTGAGGTTCTATTGTGTGATATTTCCTCTGCAGCATCACACACTTTCAATCAGCATCAGCTCCTCAGCCATTATCACTTCCTGCCTTGGCTTCTGCTCAGCACTGCAACTTGCTGCAAAACAGAATTCCTGTAACCTTGCCTGTATACATGCATACATATATGTGTACATGAAGGGGTATTTGGGTGGCAGTCAGCAAGAACCTTTTTAGTTCGTTGGAAACACTATGAACTGAGTTTGAAATGGTTGTAAATAGCTAGGGGGCTTTATTGCTCCATGTTTTTTTCCTGGTCTTTTTCATACAAATTGCTTTGAATACAATTTTGACAAGTCTTATCCCTCACATCACCTGAGTGTGTTCCATCAGTGCAAGTACTGCAGATCCTTGCCACACACCACCAGAAACTCTGGCCAGTTTGCAGAAACATCATGAAGTTCATCTACATAGTTTTCCATCTGCATCGTAAGCACAGCTGGTCTGAAATTATACACATGACAATTCCTAAAGATTTAAGCACAAAAATCCAAGGCAAGAACCTAATTAAAAATTAACATTTTGGGGTAAGAATCTTCCATATGAAATTCTAGTGCCTTAAAATATTTCTCAGTAGAAAATATTTTCTCACCATTTCTCATAATACAATTTTATCTGTGTTAAAAGAGGGCTTTGCTATAACAAGCACTGCTGTAAAAACCTAACTTTGTCCACATCCAACAGGTTTCTATCCTGCTTACTTCTATTTTTTATGGATTTTATGACTTCAAATCCAGATTCTTCGATTTCTCCACCTGTATAATTTCCACTCTGGTTTCCATACAGAGCACCATATTCATCACTGCTGGAAAAATAAACACCAAGTATAAGCTAAACCTTGTGTATGAAACAAAGAAGATGGTGGGACAATTGTTAAAGATATTCTGGTGGGCAAAACTCCAACGTGCACGTGCCCTTGTGCTCCCTCGAGTAACAAACACCTTCTAACTGAAGTGCAAGTAGGAAGCATGGAGTTCAGCACCGAGTGACATTTCTTGGCAGCTGATAGCACCATTACTGATGTAAGGCTGAGGGGCAGCAGCACGTTGTCCAACCCATATTCCAGAGTTCCTGGATCGTGCTGCAAGGCTCCAGGAAGGAAGATACTACCACCTAGATAAGGCCAGGCTCTTGGTGCTAACAAGTAGCTCTTGGCAAAAGTCTCAGCTCTGCTTTCCACCTTCATCAATGCATTACTTTCTTCAGGGGAATTGCTGCTGCTGGAAGAAATGTCAGCATTTCTGCCACTACTGTGAAAAAGAGGCCCCTGAAAAGGACCCTAAGGCAGTCTTTTCCAGGGTGCTGTGTCCCATTTGGAACAGGATTTCCAGGACAAACCTCTGGCTCTGTACCATCTTCTGTCATATGTTTTTAACCTAAGCCTGGTACAAGTTTACCTTCCCTCACCTCAAAGCTTGACACCTGACTTGTGCAAGTGTCACCTCTGGCCCATCTGCATTTCCTGAGTTTTTGGCTCTGAATAGCTGGTACACAAAGCATACCTTATTACTTAGGCAAGAGGGAAGCTAAAACCAACTGATATACACAGCTTTTCTGGACCTTCACTGCAACTAAAAAACTCCCACTTAAAATATAAAATCTGCACTTATTTTCATGATTCCAATCAATAAACTGCAGTTATCCCAACTAGAAAGCAGAAATAAGAACACAATTAATAAAAATTAGCAAAGTTGCATACATAGGTGCCAAAAAGTACCAAATGTACCTAGCAAGCACAAACCATCTTCATGTTTCACTGGTCTGATTCTCCTTTGAAGTTTTAAAGTCTCTTCAACTGAGGCTTCTATCTTCTTGAGAAGTGCCTTCATGGTTACTGTCATTTAATTCCTAGAGGAACAGCAGCTTGTGGCTTGGCATTCACCATGTTGACTATGGAGCAAATTAAATCCTTTAACAACACACAGAGAACACGACCCTGGTATTTAGGATCATTTCTGTACAAATCTGCAGAATAAAATTCTTAGCAGAGTGTAGTTTTATGCAGCAGAGACTAAGAGGCTGAATTATGTTACCACAGTTACAAAGCACCTACTCAAGCCTACAGGTACCAACTTAGTATGGTGATGTCCATGAGATAAATCTATCCCACAAACAACCTGTGGTTTGTCTTCAACTCCAGCACCGTGGTTCATACGTCCCTCAGCTGCTTTACTTTTAAAATGGATAGAAGAATAAACATTTACTTCATGGACTGAGGATAACAAGCTACAGTAATAACAAAGGTTGAGCCTTACAGAAGCTACTATCAGATTAAGTCCTCAAAACAGAATCCACGTTCTTTCAACCCAGTAACCTGTCTGTAAGCCATGTAATATTTGAAGAACTTTGACTGCAAATATGTGAAGTAGACATGGAGTAGATTGCTGTTAGGGAAGTTGCCCTTGAACCACAGAAGAGGGTATCCAAGTTATTTTATGCGCACCAAATTTAATTAATCCCTTTGTAAGCCAGGTCAGTCTTTTCACCAGAGGGATCTTTTTCCAGCACTAGTCAAGACTTGTCCTTTCACTCCAAGATGTCTATTAAACGCACAAAAGGAGGAAGTGACCAGCCGAGGGCAATGCAGGAAACAATGGAGTATGACAATTACCTCCAATTCAGCGTTACTTCCTTAGCATCTTTTCTCTGTCCTACTCATTTTTATAAAATTGGTTTATTACTCTGCAAGGACTCATTGGATTTTACTGAACATCACCTGTTATTTACTGGCTCTTTACTCTAGGCGCCCTTCAGGAAAAGACAGTTGCCAAGAACACGACGGACCAGGACCCCTTTCTCCTATCTCAGCAGGGCTCTTCATGAAAGACCATTTCAGACTTGTTATAATTCAACTTTCCTGTATCAAATGCTGGGTTTGAGTGCTTTCTCTCCACCACAGGTCACTTACAGGGACCTAGTTATCCACTATAGATTAGAGCTCCTATAGATTCACAATGCTATAATTTCATCTTACCATTTTTAAAAGTGTATCAGGTCCTAGATTTGATTGCAAAAAACATTTTGTGATGGGTCTTCTGACTTTGATCCCTTCACCAGTACATTCCTAAGAAGCTTTGGTCAACCCCAGAACAAAACAAATGGCATCAGTTTAAAGCAAAATTTGGTGCAGAAATGGAAACAAAATTTCAGCATAAACCAAAAAGCACAGCTCTGAAAAGTTTTACATGGCTGCTGTCTAAGCAGTAAGGTTTAGAACCTCCACAGTTGCCAGTTTTAAGGTTTTAGATAAAATTTTGCTTGTGAGCAGGCTGTCTTGGCAGGGCTGAGCTACTGCCCCATGAGCTGGCCAACCTTTGCTGATCTCATTGCAGAAGAATCAGTTTGACAACGCACCATGTAGTAACTTATTTGGTCTTTGTGCAGACAGGTTTTGTTAGGATCCCTTCCTGAATGGGAGCTTAAATTTATCTTTCCCAACCCCTTAGAGAATGTCCTAAGTTGAGGTTGCCCGGAGCTGTAACCCCCACACCCTGCAGTTTCACAGGCCCAGAAAGTGCATGCAAGAGCCAAGGTCACTCACCTGAAGGGAATGGGGCTTGCAGCCCGTGTTTTAAACACCTAACTGTATGAAACTTATTTTCCAGACCATGTTTTCCCTGCTTCAGCAATTCCTGAACTACTCAGAATTCTCATCTGGTTAGTCCCTGGATTGTACTGATCAGCTTCATCACCTTGGTTCCACAACTTTGCACCTGAAATCATCACTTTCAGGACATAGAATAGAGTTTCAGGTAACATCAGCAGCTCATCATGTTTTAAAGTCCTCAGACAAACACAGGACCAAGGAGTCACATTGCAAATGATGTACTCAGGGCACTTGGTCTCCATGTGCATTAACTCAGCTATTAAGCAAGAGACCTCCTTCATCATTCCAGTGCTTCTACTTACAGCCAGAACCTCATTTAAAGACGGTCAAATTGACTCCAAACCAACCTTCAAATAATCCTAAGCTAACACAAAAAGTCTTGGTTGACCTTTAGGAATGAGATCTTATTCTAAGAACCAGGTAGGTACATACACAACAGCAGGACTACCACTGCCACTGCCTTCATCTCCCCGTATGTATTTTACAGTGAAATTATGCAGCATGAAACACCAAAAGAAATTCAGTAGAAGAGTCTTTAGTAAAACATAGAAACTTTACTTTACATGCAAAACTACAACATGTTCATGATAAAAAAAAAGGTGACCGAAATTAAGCATAGTTTATAAAAACTGTCCACATTATTAAATAGGTCTGTACAACCAAAGATTTACAAAGTCTCTGCATTTCCATCTTTTCAATGCACAACTGAGTTTAAAGGTTCTGCTCGAATATTGCCCAAGTCAAGAGCTGAATCTGTCTCTTCATCAATTTCACCAATGACAGCACTGCAATGAAAAACAGGTTATGATTTGTTGAAATCCCCTGGTGTAAATCTGGAAAGCCACAAAAATTAACTTATTAGTGAAGACTTTTTTTTTTTTTTAATTGTAGATCTCTATCCTTTCAATTTCAAATTTTGAAGGCTCTAAGCAAAGTTTAAAGGAAGTTTGAGGTGTGGTTTGTTTGGGTTTTTTGTTTGTTTAATTGTTTTTTTTGTGGTGTTTTTGGTGTTTTTGGTTAGGTTTGGGTTGGGGTTTTTTTTGTTGGTTTTTTTTTTTTTTTTTAAACAGATATAGATTATAAGAACCAAATACTGCTGGTCTGTTTTAGGCAGTAGGTTAGCCTCTGAAACAAGAACTGGAAAACTTTTAGAGAGAGAACAGCTTTTGAACAGTAATGTCACAGTGTATCAATTTGTAAGTGCATACAGCACCAGACAGGCAAGACAATTTTCTTCAAGACAGCCTAATAAAAAGTTGTTAATTTATTCAAGGGAGCATATATAGTTATTTCACCTATGCTGTGTTAAGACTTACCTGGACTACAACAGTAATGGACGCAGTAAAACTGCTTTAAAGAGAAAAGAAGGTTACGGTCATCTGAATCATACTGGGTGAGGATGGGAACTAACCCAGAGGGAACATAAGAACTGGACATCTGACACTTCTGGCATACCCTTCTCTCCAGTGCTTCAGAGACTTGTGAGCTAGTGGCTGTATCCAGAAAACAAATTAACAGCCACCAGAAACTATGTTGTATTAATCCACTGAATAGCTTTCTGAATAAATTTAAGATGTTTAAGATTCTTAATCAGCTTTTTAATTTGCCATCAGTTTCAGAATGCTGCTGCAAAAGTCATCTTCCTAGCAAGCCCCTACCAGGCTGCCTTTCCACCTCATTGGTAACCCTCCCAGACTGTGTGGCACATCAGATGGCCTTTGCATTTAATGAGCTTTTGCTCTTGTTTTGTCAGGGCATTTTATATCCAATATCAATCCATACGTGTGACCTGTCACTACATTAGCTTTAACAGCTGTTACGCTGTCAAGCCAGAACCTTCACACGTTTTCCAGATTATAAAGTGTTTTCTGTGAACATTTAATAAAAGTCGTGTTAGAAGTCAATTTTGTATACTGGATCGATGACTTCTTGCACACAAGTTCTACTCTCATCTTTTGTTTATTCTTCTCTTTTCCTCCATTGACAGATCTTGCCTTTCACAGGCTGGAATGAAGAACACCTACACAATGCCTAGACTCAAGAAAGGAAAATACTGAGCTTTATATGGGTCTTCCCTAAATTACTGTCAGTACGTGAGGTGGTAAATTTACAGCTCAGTAAATCTAGACTAATACTATCTTAAAATTGCAACACAATCAGTTTTGTAATAGAAGAATAGAGGCCTATATGGCTCAGCTTTGACAGTACTATCAGTGACATCCAGAAAGACACAAGATGTCCAGGGCTATCAACATGCATTATATACATACACACACATTAAATTTTTATTAATAGGTTTAAGCATTAACATGTTATACTTACACGTTATCACCTCTTACAATGTATAATCCCAGCACTACTTGTTCAACTCCTTGTGAAGAACTGAACACTCGCTCATGGCTCTCATCCAAAATCAAGTTAATCGTCTGATCAAAACCTTTGAGGGTTCCCTGGAAAACACACAAAAACAAAGCACTCCAATGACCTTTTAAAGTTTTTACTGAACAAAGAGGATATTTTACATGGCAACTAAACTACTAAACAAAAAACAAAATGCATTTTCTTGTGTGTTCCATTTGACAAAATGTCGAAGCATTTGTATGCACAAGTTTATGGATGGACAAAGCTGACAGTCAAGAATCAGTACACTATAACATAATGGCCATAAAACTTAAAAAAAAAAAGTTTGTAAAGATGTGAACATGTAAGTGTACTATCCTAGCACAGTTTCCTCATTGCCAGGATGGAAAGTCTTTATGTGGGAAAATAAAATGTTAAAAAATACAAGTCTCACCACAATCATTCTTCCATCAGAAGTAATTACTGCAACAGTGCCTGACAGTTCATTAAGGAAATATTTAGAGATATCTGAAATAGAACCATTAACATTTTCTGAAATATTTGTACATAATGTAAGTTTTAAGAGCCATTAAGAGCCAGAAAAGCCTATCTGCCTTTTTTTTTAAGGAGCACAGTAAATAGTAATAGTTGACGACATATTATTTTTTATGACAAAATGTTTTAAAGTTTCACTTGACCCCATCATGGGGTGTCACACACAAACATGAACAACACTAAGCATAGACTAAAGATTTGAGTTCACCTCTTCCCATTATTGACTGTGCTACCCTCAAAATTGAAATAACATGAACAGTTTTATCAACACTTTAAGCAAAGTCCTTAAAAACAGTATAGCATTGGGGATCCCAAGTCCAGCATTCTATATACCCTCACTATGAAGATTCAACTACCTCAATTTGATCATAGAATCATAGAACCCTTTAGGTTGGAAGGGACCTCCAAGATCATCAAGTCCAACCATTGAGCCATTAGGGCTCTAAAGTCCTCTGCTAAAACAGGTCAGAATCTGTCAGGGTTGGAAGGGACCACAAGGGTCACCCAGTTCCAACCCCTCTGCCATGAGCAGGGACACCTCCCACTAGATCAGGCTGCCCAGAGCCTCATCCAGCTTCACTCTGAATGATTTTAAGTATCTTATTGTTTGTAAATACAGCTAAAATTGCCCATGGGTTATTACAAGTATAAAAAAGTTAACAAGTGTTCCAAGAACACTAATTTCACAGCTTTTGAACAAGTTATGTAAAGCTGATAACTAACCACTTCTTAAGAGCCCTTTAGGGGGCCCAGGTTCATTGTCAATCCTGTTTCTCATAGCAGAACAAGCAAGGATCAGATCTGCAGCACTTGAAGCTCTAAGGGACCCTATTCTCTGGGTCTCCTGTAACCTCCATTCTACTTGCCAAGGCAGTCCTACGCAAAGACAAACCGACAGAGCCAACCAGGAAGTACCCCAGGAACGCAGCCGTCCGCGAGAGCGGGACGCAGTAGGCCGGAGGCCCAGGCCGAGACGCTACGAAAGGGCCCTGCAACAGCTTGCCTAAGTCTGGGGATCTCCTCGCACTCCGCACCTTTCCAGGCCCGGAGGCACCCGACGCCGCAGCAGCGCTAACA